AAGAACACATTGTAGATAAGGGCAGGAATATAACAATAGTGTTTACCTAAATGTACTGATCATTTAAACAAAGTCGAGGGACAAGCAGTACAACCGAGCCATACTGTAACAAGCAATGAGTAACCCCTGGAAATTTCCAAACTGCCACAAACAAAGTAGAGACACAGTATTTAAAGCTGCATCAGAGCACAGCAATTTGGACCTCACCGATGGGCTTTGGGTACTAGCACCTAGGAAGCTGAGACAGTCTCCCACTTCATCCACAGCCAAAATGGGTTCCCCAGCTAGCCAAAGGGACGTAAGATATGCTGCTTCTTTATTATGTTGCCCTTCTAGTTAAGGGGTGCAGCTGTTAGCTGTCAGGAAATAAACTACTTGGCTGAGTCTAGACTGGCATGATTTTCTGCAAATGCTTTTAACGGAAAAGTTTTTCCATTAAAAGCATTTGAGGAAAAGAGCGTCTAGATTGGCACGGATGCTTTTGCGCAAAAGCTTTTGTGCCAATCTAGATACAGTTTTGCGCAAGAAAGCTCCGGTGGCCATTTTCACCATCGGGGCTTTTGTGCGCAAAACAGTTTTTACCTGTCTACATGGCCCTCTTGCACAAAAGCATTTGCACAAGAGGGCTTTTTCCAGAGCGGGAGCATCAGTGTATTTGCGCAAGAACACTGACAATCATCCATTAGATCGTCAGTGTTCTTGTGCAAATTCAAGCAGCCAGTGTAGACAGCTGGCAAGTTTTTGCGAAAAAGCGGCCGCTTTTGCACAAAAACTTGCCAGTCTAGATTCACCCCTTGTGTCTGACAGATACCTGTATAGCGTCCTTTGTAGTTTGAGAACCCACTGTCGGACCTGAGACTTACTCTTGCTGGCAACAGGGGCACTCCGCTTCAAAACAGCCACCAACCAGACATCGAGCCATTGATCACTACCCATTAGGCCTGATAGTCTAGCCAACTTTCTATCCACCGTACTGTCCTTTAATCCAATCCATACTTCCTTAAATTGCTGGCAAGAATGCTGTGGGAGACCGTATCAAAAGCTTTGTTAAATTCAATATATATCACACCCACTGAATTCCTCATGTCCACCGAGCCAGTTACCTCATCATAGAAGCTAATCAGATTGGTCAGACATGACTTGTCCTTTGTGAATCCATGTTTACAGTTCCTGAGCACTTTCCCCTCTTGCAAATACCTCAAAATGAATTCCTTCAGGGTCCCCTTCATGATTTTTCTGGAGGCTGAAGTAAGGCTGACTGGTCTGTTGTTCCCTGGTGTCACGGTATTGGGTTTTAAAGAGAGCAGACAGATCACTGGTGCACCCACGGGGGGGTTGTTTGCCCCAAATTCTGTACAAAGGGAGTCATGTGAGGTGTCAAACAAAAGCTTATACACTACTGATTCTATGTGTGCTACTCATGTGCTTGTATGATGTCTATATGTGGGGTTATGAATATGGGCTCTGTTCTTGTACTGTAAATGTTCTCTGTCCGGGAACAAGCAATGGGCCTGGACTGCCTGTTGTCAGGAAAGATGATTCAGCGAATGGATGTGCTAACTAGCCCAGGCGCATGGACAATGGCTCTCGGAGTGGCCAACACACACCCGAGGGATGTGTCTGGAAACTTGCAGACTGGCCAGAGCATAATGGCTATTTGCATGTGAAACAGAGACAGGAAATGTTCTCTGTCCGGGAACAAGCAATGGGCCTGGACTGCCTGTTGTCAGGAAAGATGATTCAGCGAATGGATGTGCTAACTAGCCCAGGCGCATGGACAATGGCTCTCGGAGTGGCCAACACACACCCGAGGGATGTGTCTGGAAACTTGCAGACTGGCCAGAGCATAATGGCTATTTGCATGTGAAACAGAGACAGGTCACTTGATCATGTGACCAGCTCCAGTTTGGGAGACACCAGGGATTTAAAGGTGCCATGAGGTGGACTCCATCTTGTCTTCAATCTTGTTACTGATCCCAGATTCAGCCTTCCTAGGTACAGCGAGCCGGGAAGGATTGTTGACCCATCCTGACATAGGATTTACACCACAGACTTTTAAGATAGCTGTTTATAACATCTCTGCTAAGAGCTGGATCAAGAACTTGGTAGTTGATTTCAGGGGGTAGCTGAGTTAGTCTGTACAGGAGAAACTTAAAAGACAACAAATAGTCTCTTTGGGTAACATAATTATCATAATTAGTAACCAAATTAGGGAGGGCAGGTACATGCTGATGGTACCTGTTCATAAGCACAGAGTCCAGATCAGAGAGAGAAACCCAAACCACTCCCACGAGTTTCTCCTTGGCAATATACAATACTTCGTTTCTTTCACCAGGATCAGTTCTTAATGTCCTTTTGTAGTCAGAAATCTCTGGGCGTTGGCGGTGTCAGAGGAGCGGACTTTTCCTCTTTTTTTCTTGAAACAGTCGTGGTTCAGCATCACGCAGGGGAGAGGTTACCAGCACATCACCCTGTAATATTTTGGTTCTTCTGGTGTCCAGCAGGTGGGAAAGCAGGACCAGAAGAGAGAGGCTTATCAGCAATCGGGGTAGGATCATTTCGAGATGGAGGGATCTTTTTGCAG